TTTGTAATTTTTATTTAATTTTATAATAATAAAATTTTTAACACAAAAAATTTTTATGTCACGTGTTCTTTGTAAGATGGTCTCGATAAATCAGTTCTCTCGATAAGTCAGCCAAACATGCTCAGCCATGCACGGCTGACTTATCGAGTTTACCTATGTATAAAAATTTTAAATTTAATACAATATATCTGAATAATTTAAATATAATAAAAATCATACCTAAATTATCAAATAAAAAGCCCACATCTAATCATTTCAACTTGCTTGTTGAACTATTATTACATTCAATTTCTAGAAGAGGTTCCTCATCCTCCAGATTTGGTTGTCCCAAATGATTCTTTTTTCCAAAAATACACAACAGACACAAACTACAGTATACTGATTGTAGGATTGGTTGAATCAAACAATGCCAAACTTCTGATCTTATTTGGAAACCCTGACCTGGAATCTTTGATGTTTCCCCCAATAGGAAGGGAAACCTGTCCTATTAAAGCTGTGTTGACTTCAAAGAAAGGTTCATCAAAGTCTTATATGCCATTAATGAATTGAATGGAATTGGTGCAATACAAATGTGTCCAGAGTCACATTGCCATATTTTTCTGTCTAATAATATTTTCAAGGAAGATAAATTTTATTTTTAATTAATTATGACAAAAAAATTTCGTCAGGTATCATTAATCATGACATCATCAATGACTCATTTTTGACATTTAACTTGGTAATTTTCAATTAGTCACCATTTATCATTCTATTTTGTTTTATTTTATTGGACAAAATCATGTTATTTGTAATACTTTAAGAAGTATAAATATGTATGAAATCTCCTTCAGTGAAGAAAAAATTTAAAAACAATTGATTTTTCAATAATAACACTTTCATTAATTGATTCATAACCCTTTCTGATGATTAATGGTTTGGCCAACATTTAATTATTAGTTAGAAACCCCTTTTATTAGTTTTACTATATTGCTTGTAGGGATGCCTCAAGTAGTGTAGTGGTATATGGTGATTTTAGTTTAGTTTGAACATTATTGTGCCAGATTTGGTGACTCTATCCTATAAAAAATTTGGTACAGAAAATGTATGGAAAACTGTATGGAATTTTACCTGAAATTTGCATTTTTCTGTACATTTTTGTATGGAAAAGTATAAGAAAACCCCTCTGAAAATGCACAGAAAATGTACAGAAGGAAATTAGAACACCCTTCTTGTAACCTACATGAGAATGCTGCACTGATTTGAGTCCTGATAAGGTACTTTGCATGTTTGATGAAGTCTCTTGACTGGGATCCCAATACTGTTTCATATGGCAAGTGTGTATATATTGGTTAATAGGTGATTTATCTTAATATCAACATCACATTTAACTATCATTGTAAAGATGGCCATAATAACTTTCCATGCAGAGAGTGCAGAAGAACACTATCCAGGATTGGAGGCTGCATGTTTGGAATAATGACAGACACAAATTCAAGCATTGGAAATTTGGTTCCTAAAGAAAGTGAAGACAAATCTGCAAGATTTACAAATGAGTTATCCATGCACACTTTCATTTTTTTATTTATTTACTATTCTATTTTATAGAAAGGAAAACTTTTGGAGATGATGTGAAGGTCTTGTTAGGCCTATTTATACATATTGCATCAACAGGCATATACAGGTTTGACTTTTTTTTTACTTACAGTGCTTAAAATGGATCATGGACACTAATGAAATTTTTTGGTAGTGATAAAATTACCAAGAAGTTGATAGTTTCATAAAAATGATTGGATTTGATCTTTGTTTATATGGGCGTCCACTTTGGATGGAAATCTTGTAGCAACAAGGGACATTAATGGGACTATATCCTTGACTAGGAATAATCATGCAGAAAAATGCATAACTGCTTTAACACTACTATGAGACTTTATCTTTGTCCTAGAGCAAAATTACCTTCCCAATCAGTCTGTAATAGATTAGAGGCGTTAATTTATTACCCATCAGAACTCATTTTAGCTGAAGCAGCATTGGTAACTTTGCAAAATGACTATTACCAAAAAGCTGCAATAACAGTATTGAATAATACAATTTCTACAGGTGGAATAGTTAATGCTGGTGACCAAGGAGAGCTTGCATGAGAATTATTTTGGTGACTGTTTGGATATGTTGTATTAAAAAGGTGGCAGTTTATTTTTTTCTTGTTGAGTACTTTTAATCAATTTATCCAATGTTACATTGCCACTAGTCCATCCTTCAGTTAACAACTTTGGATTACATGATTGGCACCATGAATAATAAGTATTATATCTATTGCAGGTTGGACATTTCCCATAACCTTCATACCTTCTATCAGAATATTCATCATAATTTTTGTCAGTAGTAGTATTGCAATGATGTTTATTGTCACCCAAAGTGTTTTCCATTGTGGTTTTTTATTAAATTTGTATAATTTGTACAATTTGTCAAAAAAAAAAATTTTCTAAAGAACTTTTTTTTTTCAGCCACAAATATGTATGTATCACAGCATAGTGGACACTGTTGCAGATCACAAAAAAACGATCAACATAACATATGTTATGGTGAAAGTTCTTGCAAAAGTTTGATTATAAAAGTGTGAGATAATTTTGATCTTGCTGATGATCTGGACTTAGAGAGGCTACAGCTATATTCAGAAGCAACGAGCTCTGTGTAACTGCCTGACTATTATACAAATGACTGTTGCACAAAATGAGTGTCCATTATGCTTTAAGAGATAGAGAAACTTTATGCAAATGTAATTAATGATCATCATATTGCATATTAGTAAAAAAAAAAGTTCAAACAAATTTTACATTCAAGAAAAGAATATAAATAGGTGTATTCACAAATTAATTGAGTTGTACCCCCTTAGCTCTAGGTAACACTTATAAATGACTTTGAATCCGAATACTTTCCTCAAATGCAGATGCTCTCACAACTTTTTAACTTATTTTTTTATAAATTATTTATGTATTTTCAATTTATTGATAAGTACCAATTGATTTTACTTCATTTGAATGATATTTTATTAAAATAAAGTTAAATAGACCAACTAACTATAGTACTCAGGTGAAGAAGGAACTGCATCTAATAATTTGTTCTCACTATATATAACATCATCATCTCTAGTTTGACATAGCATTTATAAGTCTGATAATTTGTACATTTTCATATATTTTGGAATTTAGCCAATTTAAATTTTTGCAAAGTTCAATAAATTCTTCCATCATTTTTGGAATGTTTCCTTCTGTGACAATAGGCAATTTGATAATGGAATGTAACAACATTCGACAAAAAGGTTTACATTTTTGATCCACTGTATAGATTTTTAAATTGGTTTCTATTTAAAATTTAAAAAATTTTAGTGTACAATAACAATAAAAGATAATGAAAAAATAACACTTACCATAAAAATGTACAATATTATCACAAATTGATCCAATAATTCAACTGTTTCCTTTTTGCACTCAAATCTATTAATAAAACAACATAAATGATTCCACAAATCTACTGCATATTTACCTAACCTCAACTGATCTTCTCTTGTATGACTTTCTTTGGGAGAAAAAGACCAAAAGAAATTTCAATAAATAGGAATTCACATCTATGTTTGTCTAGATTGTTTATATATGCAAAACTGTCTGGGGACCATAAATTCCATTGACCGGTGCTTTGTTGATTGTGATAGCAAAGCATCCCATCTCTTTTCAACATTTTGAATATTTAAGAAAGCATTGAATGAATGACATAATGTGAGTATGTGCATTCATTGATTGATGGGTCCCTACTCTGATAACTTTTGCTTTCCCATACAATTTTCCTGCATAAAATTATAGAATATTACAAATTATACAGAAATTCTGTAAAATAAATGTAAACAAACACTTACATGTAACTAAGAAATATAAATAATCCATTGTAAAAAGATTCATCAGGCCTTCTCACATGAGGAATACTTACATTTCCATAGGTTATGAAATTTGATATGAATTTTTTTTCTAAATCTATAAGGTTAATTTTTGTTTGAGTATTTTCTGGTTTTATTTGAAACAACAATCTCTCTCTTTTCAACATTTTATATATCTTCTTGTTATTCTCCTTTATCAAATCTTCATCAATGATAACATTTAATAAAGCTCCTAACGGTTCAGTTCAAACCAGTTTTATGGGTAAACCAAAACCGAACCGAAATCTTCAGTTTATCCCTTAAACTGGCTATTGTACAAATTTGTACAATTAAATTCTTTTATATAGAAAAATTTTTCTGATCATCATGCTTTCTAATTAACAAATGATATTTGAGATTTTATACATTGATCTATATATAGAAATTCGGCCATTATTATTATGGGTTTTGTAAAACTGTAAAAAGTCTACAATGCCCGTGTCGATCATTACCTTAAAAATTGATATATTCATAATAAAATTTTTTATTGTGCGATTTGGTTAATTTTGATTGGTGGAATTTTGTAATTTACCAATAAATTTTTCGAAATTCCCTTATTCGAAAATGTGGACAGTTTAAGGGATAAACCGAACCAAACTGAACTTTCAGTTTATAGACCAAAACCAAACTGAATTTCTTGCATACTAATACAAACCAAAACTGAACCGAATTTATTTTTTTAAACCAATAAAAATTTAATTTGATAGTGTTACCGAAATTAGAAATTCATTGGCTGAAATTCTTTAATCTATTCATATAACATTATAATTTATTTAACTTGATTAAATAGTAGATTTCGCACTTCAAGAGCTATTTCATACTTGAAGAGCTATTTCAGGATTAAATCATTGAATCACAATTACACAAAGAAGTTTAGTAATAGCCTATTCATCCTGATCCACATAATTGAAATTTCTTTGTTATTTAATTATGCTCTTCTTCAACTTCTTCACTATTATAAATAAGAGAACTATTATCAGGTGAATTATTATCAAGAGAATTATGTAATTCATTCATGAAGAAATCAATAACTAATGGTAAAATTGAAGGAGAGTAATTAATTATTAATTATTATTATTATTATTATTTTTTTTTTTTTTGATTATATACTGTATATTAATATATATATTTTATTTATTATTGGAAAAAAAAAATTTTTTTTTTTGTATATAATAATTTAAAACCGAAACTAAACCAAAACTAAACTGAAAATTTTTGAATTGGTTTTTTAAAAACCAAAACTGAACCATTTGGAGCTTTACCATTTAATATGTATCTATTGGTTTCTAAGTCCTTTATTTTAATCACTTCACATATTTTGAGGGAAACTTATCCATAGATGGATATTTAGAAGGTAGCTGTCAAAAATTTATGAAATTCAGTCATTAAAGGTTTTACATAAGTTTAGTTTAAAATAATAATAAAACTTTGTTGTTTAAGTAGTCAGTTGGCAGTGTATGTATCCATGATTTTTAATGTCATAAATCATTAAAAAAACCAAATATGAACAATAAAACCTACCAAATTATATTTTTGTAACAAATGATTTATATCAAACTCACTAGAGGATATTTCTTCTAAATTTTCTTTATCATTAGATAAGAAGTCAAAACAACATCAGGAGGTTTTAAATGTTAATAAATTTTGTAATTTTTACATAAAACTAGAGTGATGACAAGTGACGGGCAATAACCACCACCACCATCCTTAAAACACTTACCCAGCAACATCAGGAATAAATCCTTTGCTTCTTCTATTGGTTTCTTTGTGTTTTTGTGGCATTTTTTTTAAAATAGAAACTAGAGTAACAATGAGTGACAGGTGATAATCACCACCACCATCCTTAAAACATTTACTTGTGTTGTTCTTTGTTAGTTTCTTGTCTTCTTTTTTTTTGCTTTGATTATACATTTTTTTTTAATAAATTAAAATAAAAGAAGTTTGTGAACAATTCATCATCAAATCTTAACTGCATCAAGGGAATTCAGAGGTGTGAGTGGTTCTACCACACATCTTTCACCAAAGACAGCCCCAGCAATCCCTAGATATGGTCCTGCCAGGTAAATAAAGAATATTGGATGGAGAACATAACAGTCTGGAGGCCTTTTCTGACTAATAAATCTAGTGTATGATGCACAAACCTGCCTGTAAGGACATCCACTGCCATCTCCAAGTTCATTTTTTATTTCTCCTAATAACAGCAGATGTTTAACATGATTGACATTAAATAGTATATGCAAATCGGCCTCACTATATGTCCTCCAAGTGGTAAATGTGTCAACAGGCAATTAAAATATTTTGAAGCATGATGTGAATTTTGCAAGCTGATCATCTTCAACCTTATAAAACTCTTGCATGTCTAATACAAGTTTTCCAAGTGATTCATTTTAATAGATAGAGAGCAATACTTATCTATTTATATTTAAAAAATCAAGTCAAATTTAAATTTGTATTGAAATTCAAAATTTGTGTTAAATTTAAACTTGCACTCTTTGCTCATTGTTGACATCTTTATTTTATTGTTTTATTTTCATTGTTGTTGTTGTCATTGTTGTTATTATCTTTGTTATTCTTAGTTGTTATTAACCTTGTTGTTATCGTCATTGCCATTGTGGTTATGGTAGTGAATGTGGTGTTTGATAATGATTATAAAAATTTATTGTTATTATAACATATTGTAGTTCCTTATGAATAATAAATCTGATGTTGTTTGCAGGTGTCAGATTTAATTAAAACTTTCCTGTAACAAACATTGCAAATGGGTGCTTTCACACCATCCCATCCCTATGGTTTTTTTTCCACAGGTGGACACTTACATGTTGGAAGGCTTTGGACAAAACTTTCCCTTATCTTCCTCTCAGACCAGGCTTGGCTGTTATCATATGGGCATTGATCATTGACATTTGTGTCATGATTGCTTTGTGTTATCACTAGTATAAAGTTCGTGCCTGCAAATGGTTCAAAAATTCAGCAACTCGGAAAGTTACAACCCGGGTTGCTGTCTTGTTTGTGGTACGCCTACTTACCAACAACCCTACCCCCAATTTAAATAACAAATTCGGCTGGCCAAATAAAAATTAAAGAGACAGAGAATTTATGAAAATAATTATGCAAAACAAACACTATTTTACAATTTTCCTCTTAAAATTAGAGCCCAAATGCAATTTCAGGGTC